TTTATACAAAAGGAAGAAACTGTCCAATTACGAGACACCTCTTAAGAACAGGGCATACTTTTGAAAATATCACCTTTCAAATAATTAAGGTAAACCAAAATTGGAACTCCCAAAGGAGAAAACAGCGAGAAAGGTTCTGGATGCATCAGCTACGTACTCTTGAACCTGGTGGACTGAATGAGAAAGTTGGAAAAACAGTTCTACCCAAAACCAAAGGAATAAATCCTGAACTTCATTCTATTTAACTAAAACAACTATTTGTTTTGATTTAAGAATTGCTATGTACAATAAGCGGCTAAACTATTTTTCTAGACATTTAACATTGAGCTGCAAAAATGTCTTTACAGCCTCAAACTTTTACCTCGTTGGCTGCACACGCCTGATGAAGCTAACTTGTTTAGAGAATAATTGGCTGCGTGAATAATATAAAATATAACAACTAATTTTATAACACTCATTTGTGTGTTAACGTTACATTCTTAGGCACTTATATAATTTAATGTAGGAACTGCATCAGTGTATTTACAAACTGATCCACGCCTAGATAGATTGAGTGTTTATTGATGCTATTTTTAGACACTATATATATGTGTTTTCAGCCTTGAATCACCTTCATTGGTGATCAGATGGCTGGGTCTGTCGTTGAGGTGTCACTTATTAATACTATATATATATATATATATATATATATATATACAACTCGTCTAAACATCAGCCCAACACTGTTAGATCTGTAAATTTGCTTTCGCAAATTTTTTTTGGTTTTTCCCTCGCAGAGATTCGAACTCATGCTACTGAGATATCGTGACACCAAATCGCCTGCACTTTATCTGACGCGCTAGACCACTCGACCATCTAGGCTTCGATAATAAAGCTTTCGGTGGCCGGGTGTTACCTTTCCTCTTCAGTGTTAATCTAGCCTCGTAATACAGAACATGATATATAAGGCATGAAGATGGAATTGTTACAGATCAGCCGAAATATCTATTGTAAAGGATCCTACAAATTAATGCCAGATACAGTCACAGAAATAATTATATTTATAAGTACGTCTGAACCAGTGACAGCTCTACAAAAGATTTATCAATCGGATCACCAGCAAAAGCAAATTTACAGATCTAACATTGTTGGACTGATGGTTAGACGAGTTGTATATACAGAATGTACACAGCCATGTATCACCATCACTGCTGGTTATTATTAATTTTATTATATTATTAATAAGTGACACCTCAACGACAGATCCAGCCATCTGATCACCAATGAAGGCGATACACGGCTAAAAACACATATTACATTCATAATAAATCTAAATAATAGCCCAACAATGTTAAATCTGCAAATTTGCGGAAGCAATTTTTTGTTCTTCGCTCGCTGGGATTCGAACTCATGCTATTGGGATATCGAGATAACACCGCCTGCACTGTGTCAAGAGTTCTAGACCACACTGTCACCTAGACTGTACTAATGATTCAGCTATTGTTGGCCTAGTGTTATCTTTCCTCGTAAGTAGAATCTAGAGTGGTAACACAGTATAGGATATATTAGGCATGAAGATGAATTGATTGCAGATTAGCTAAATATCTATCATAGAGGATCGTAATTTTTGTGACTATATCATACTATCTTCTGCGATAGATATTTCTATGACTGTCAACAGAAGCAATGACTAAATATGGTAAACTATGATCAAACATAGAATGCCTGCAGTTAAACATAAAATTCAGACTGATATTTGTAAAACTACTTTGGTCAACCTAAAAAAATAGTGATAAATAGTTAAATCACAAAAATACTGAACTCCGAGGAAAATTCAAAACGGAAAGTCCCTAATCAAATATAAAAACCAAAAGCACAAACACATCAAACGAATGGACAACAACTGTCATATTCCTGACTTGGTACAGGCATAAACACGTTCATTGACTTAAGTGCGTCATGGAAGAATAGTTCTTATAACTGTTACAAAGGGATATAACTATAGAATCACTTGTTTTTTTCCTCCCCAAACGTCATTAATGTCAGATATTGTGCTGTCGTTGAATCTACATTATACTCAGAAATATTCATTTAAGCATATTATAATTGCAAGCTTAAAGAATTACGATGAATAATTAGTCTGTATTGACCAATTGGTGATTTGAAATTGTAGCATGTGGACATACCTAAAGCAAAATCTTGTATCCATCCAGTTTCTTCTACAATCGACCGTACGTCAGAGCCATCTACCGTGCATCTTACAATTGACCAATTGTCTTGATTAATAAAGAAGATCAACCTGAAAGGAATACAACATTACATCACAATTTCAATGTTAATAACAATATTTAGTAACTATACCATCTTGTGTCGTATAACTTAAAGTAACACAATTAGAAACATTTCTATTTATAGAAGTTATAATAACTTTACATGTGAGTACTGAAAATTCAGAAATTATTACGAGTTATTTCATTATGCGAATCGCAAAAGTAAGAACTCGTTTTATACTTATGTGTAATTATGCAGATTTTCGTAATGAATCTCGCTTTTTTGCCAATTCTTCAAAAATGAATGCACGCAATAATTTCTGGATTTACAATGTCATCTAAACTCAATTATGAATTATCATGTAGATCAATTTAGTAAGGTCAATGTGATTTATCGCTGCGATATGGACGTTTTGTATGTTTTCAATCAATTGATAAATTAACATGATAAATATGATTTAGATTGTTTTAAAATTAAATGGAAACGTCAGTTAGTCGATCGTTCTCACACTATTTTAAATTAAATGCGTTTATTTAAGTTGTGCGTTATCTATATCATACAGCAGTAATCACAAGACATTTTAATCTATGTATTGTGTTAATATATCATAAAAAAAGAATTAAACGACAGCTCTTAATTGATGAGACTAGTACACGCTTGCATAAGAGACTTACATATACACAATTAAATAAAAAATTCATAGAAAAATAGAAGCTTGAAAATACGGTGAAAGAAAACATTCGGTAAGGGAACGTGCAATATTTATCAGGCAGGTAGGACCGGTGCAAAACCATAGTAGGACAACCACATTTTTCTTCCACTTCAGGCATAGGGTCGCAATTTTTTTCACCTTTGGCGACCATATGACATGAAGATTTATTCAAACTATTGCTATCAAACAAAACAATATTAACTGAATATCCAAACAAAACATTTGTACGAACAATAACATAGTTTAGATTATAACAAAAAAAGTGAACTTATGTTTATTTGTTATATTTAAAAGTATAGTTTGTTTGTTAATATATATTAAACTAAAACTAAATGCTACTAAAAAAAATTTTCTCAGTAAACATGTGCTTTATAAAAGGTAACACACTTAAATGATATTTACTATAGTAAGAGTTTGATTGGCAAATTTTATTAATGTTCAAGCATGACATATAAGCTCTTTTTTTGCTTAAATAATCATTTTTAATATATTTATATCATGGACATACATGATACATGTATTTTCATATTCATATGAATTAACTAAGTTTTAATAGTTAACAGACAAAATACTAATGGACATTAAAAAGCAAGTAAAAAACATCAAATGATCAAATTAAATTTAAATGAAGAAACCTCTTTCAATTGAACTTGAACTCTTTTTTAAAACTGCATGATTATCTTTGTAGATTTTGACAATTATGGGGCAATAGTTATAACTCTTATATATAATTCTCCTGTACTTTTTTATGATTGTCATAGTTGTAGAAATCTTATCTTCAAGAAAATACTGTATATTAGCAATTTACATATTTGTCATCTACCTTTAATATACATGTACATGTATACAATTTTCAAAATACCCTATTAATTTAGAATTAAGGCAAAATTTGACATGAAGGGACAATAACTCTTTGACTAGTAAGCATATTATCATATGCTGAATTACCAATCATTGTCTTAATAACAGAGCAGGTTTATATTTCAAATATGCAATGTTACTTTATCTATTCTAGTTTTCAAGAAAGAAATTATGGTCCTTTTAAAGCAAAGACAGACATGTTTTTGACTATGATGAGTCAAAACTGAAAATTGTAGCTTTTTCTACCTTCTAATTAAATCATAGAATTTGACAGAAATAAACCAAATTACCAAATAACCTGGCATTTTTTCAGATCAATATAAAATTGAGATAGCAGTAGAGGTATAAGAAAATCCAAGTTGATTTGAAAAAGTTACAGAAATTTTTACAGGTGACTATCTGAATTTACTCCAAACTGAAAATTTTAGCTTTTTTTTACCTATTAATTGAATCCTTAAATTTTACAGCGATAGACCAAACTACCAAACAACCTGACATTCTGTAAGATCAATATATAATTGACATTGCTGAAGATTTATATTAAAATCCAAGTTGATTTGAAAAATTTATAGAAACTTTAAAGGTGACTATCTGAATTAAGTCCAGACTGAAAAATCTAGCTTTTTTACCTATTAATTCATTCCTTACATTTGACAGCAATGAACCAAACTATCAAATAACCTAGAATTTTGTAAAATCAATATATAATTGAGATAGATTGGCTGATTCAGACCAGTCGAAACTAAAATTAAAAGTCAAGACAGGTTGAGACTGGCCGAGACTGGTCAAGACTGAGTCAAGACTGGACGAGCAATTTGTTGAGACCATATTCAGATTATACGAAGATAATCAAGTACTCAATCAGACTTTTTTAGTTAAGTTGAGACCAAATTTGAGTACTGTTGAGTCAAATCTCACTCACGATGCTCGACCAGTTAAAACATGGTCTTTTCGGTCTCTCTGTAGTTTGCAGTGTAATAGGACACATTCTTTTTTTTGCATGCAAGTCATAGGACATTGAGTTTTTACAGCCCATAACAGAATGGGACTTCACTTTTTTTGTCTTAAACAAAATTTGCACCGGTCCCACCTGCCTGATAAATATTGCATGGTCCCTAAGTTCTATGTGCAAAAATATCAAATAGATTGCCCTTAAATGATCGTTTATAATTGATATTTACCCGTTTCTCGAATCTACTTCTAAGATTCCTACAGAACCATTTGTACTAAAATTAAGAATGGGTGTTATATCTAATCCGTCAAGGTTCGATCTCACTAAATCACTACAGTTTGACCAGTATAAATAATCGTTGATAGAATCAACTGCAATGCTAGATGAACAAGATCCTGCTTCTTGATGAAAAATAACTTCTGTGTCATTATCAATGGATGGATATTTCAGCCTGAATGCGATAGAATAAAAACGTATACGTAAGATAATGATTGCACTGTATTGTCAAAATTTGCACGTGTTGATCTCATTACACACTTGTTTATATATAACACATATATTCATGTTAACATATTTATAAATAAAAGAAGATGCGGTATGATTGCCAATGAGACAACTCTTCACAAGAGACCAAATGACACAGAAATTAACAACTGTAGGTCACCGTACGGCTTTCAACAATGTGCGAGCCAATACCGCATAGTCAGCTATTAAATGACTAATGTTCAAAAAACTAACGGCCTACTTTATGTACAAAATTATGAACGAAAAACAAATATGTAACATAGCAACAATCGACAACCCCTGAACTACACAGGTCAGGAATAATCATTAATTGATGGTTTATACCTCAATTCAGATAAAAGCAACCATTTGACATATAATGGGATACACCAATTGAGGCATAATTATGATAATGTAGTTTTTGTCCAAATATTTTTTAAAGATATATTGGAGCATTTTTTTTAATTTACCATAACAATCTTTGGTGACCAGTAAGTGATGACATGTTATTGATTCTGACACTTCGTGTTGCAATTTGTAAGGAGAAACTTAAAAACTAAGATGTCCCTCATTTTTCTTCTTTCTGAGTTTTCATTTATTGAATATAATTTTTGTTCTGTAGTCTCTTCCTGTCCATGTGACTAACAAATGTTAAAGATAGAACTGATCCAGACATAAGGAAAACAATTGTGTTTATCCATCAACTGGTGGATTATGCCTCAATTGAGATATAATCCACATTTTCCAAAACGCAGCACAGGAAGTCAGAAGCAACTACGTGTCACTAATGAGTACTCATCAAAGCTTAAGATGGTGTATGCAAAGAGATGCTCGAATATCTCTTTAAAAAATGTTATAATAAAAACTGCATAATACCTCACTATATGTCATATGGTGGATTATACCTCAATTGACATATAATCTATCAATTAATGGTTATTCCTGACCTGTTACAGGCGCCTTGGGACAGGCACATACATACAGAATGTGGCGGGTAAAACATGTTAGTGGGCGGCAATCCTTCCTTAATCCTAGGACAGTGGTGCAACTGAACAATACAAGAACTGTACAAAACAATACACACACAACGCATATGATCAACAGCAAAAACCAACAACCATTCAATTACAGGTTCCTGACTTGGGACAGGAATATATAAAATGTGGCGGGTTTTAACATGTTAGCGGCGCCCAACCCTCCTCTATCCTGGGACAGTAGTTTAACAGTACAACATAAGAACAAAAAAAATTAGTTGAAAAAGGCTTAACTCATCAGATGGATACACATAGACATACATGTAACAAAAACACAGAGTGGACGTGGCCGGTTTTTGTACACCCCAACAACCAAAAGACCCTTAGTACAGATCTTAGAGTACTCGCAGCTACTGACAACTAGTTCAAAGCCAATAACAACTAATACAACCAATGATGCATCTAAGACTAAATTATAAATCAGTTCACATCAAATATCCAATGGATTTAGTGTAAAGACGTCATAATCAGTCAGAGAAAAACATGACATTGTACAATGCCAAGATACAGGTATCGACAGATTGTAGAGCCATGAATATACATAATATTCAGTTTGCTTTTAATTTACTGATAACAAAATAAATATTTATACCAATAAAAACAATATTTAAAGATCTAATTACTGTGTTGGATCGTTTCTAAATAAGGAGGTCTGTATTTACTGCATGACTTAAGCATCACTGAAGTAGCTTACCTTTCACAAATTTATATTCAGGCAAAACTACAGGAGGAGTACAGTTTTTCAAAAAGGTAATGAAGGTTGGATTTTCTTGTTATTATAAAATCCCTATAAATCAACATAATCAATATAAAAAACCTTTGTGAACAAAACCAAAAAAAGAATAACAACATTTTCTCTACACTCAAAATAGGGTAGCATTTAAACCTTTAAGTTCGTAAACTAAGTAAAAATAAACTATAACAATCCTCTTATCTTGAATTTGAACTCGTAAATGTAAAATGTACCTTTTTATATAAGACTATTTATTGATTCACATGATACAGTTCATTTCTTTTTTCATTGGAAAAGAAACACAAATGGATATAAAAAAACAACTGAGAACAAGAGATTGTTGATTAGTTTATTGTTTAACGGTGAATGTATTTGTGTTCTATTTATGTGATTTGTTTTTTGTATGTTTGTCGTTCATTTTCAAATCATTAAACGTTAATTACGTGAGTAACGGACGTCCCTAATATGTAGCAATTGTACGTTATAAACAGACACATGAGCTCATATTCTTTTAAAATTGTAGATCTATCCCTTTATAGTTATATGTTGTTATCCGATAGAAGGATTTATCTTGAAGTTGTTACGTATTTAGGCATATAGAATTGATAAAATATTGATGTGACTGTACGATTAGTATAATAATGCTTTACGACATATAAATTCAAGCGTGATAGCCCTAATCAAAGCAGACAATTAAAGATATGATTCGATTACCGAAAGCTATATATTTGTAAAACCATGTATAAAGCCAGGTTGACCCAAGTAATAAATAATAAAATGCAGACTATGTTGCTAATTTGCAAATTTTATAAGGCTTGGCTAAACCTAAGACGGCATTATAAGAAGAAAGAAAAAAACTGAAAGAAATTTTGGGCTCGGACATTATGTTTTACATGTACTTGGATTATTTATTTGATCGCGTTTTTACTTTTCTTATTATATATGAAAGGAAAGTAAGCCATGAACAGTTGTACATGTATGAAAACTGTTGGTGTTATAATCCTAAACTTAGAAGTAAGGAGTATTTCATCATTCTGAGAATATTTGCTAACAAACCTGGTTATGTTACCAGACCAACTTGACCAATATATGTAGTTCTTTGTTTCGTGGAAGGCAACACTTTGTATGTCGTAATTGTCAGTTTTTACAATAATTTCTAAGGTTGTTCCATTAGCGTCCATTAACATTACTCTGTCCCATGCTGCTACTAGAAGTCTTATATCTAAAAAAAAAATTGAAATTGTGTATTTTATGTCTGTACAATGTATTACCTTTGATAATTATACTATGATAACAGAGCAAGGGAATTAATTTCGACCTAACATGTCTTTTTTTTAACAATCAGTCTGAATTTTAGACATCTTTTATTTAGAAGATGAAAATAATTCTGTAAACATTTGGTTGTTCAGAACCGCTCGATAAAAAAAGCCTAAAGGAAAGCAGCCTGTATGAGTTAGAACCTTAGCAGTATCGACGCTCTGACAATAGAGGACTTACAATCTATCAGTAGCATTATCGATCAAGTGCTGGAAAATATAGATAATAAAAAGAAGATTTTTGTATAATTGTAAGAATACTAAGGATGTTCTGCCCCAAGGAATAGATTAGCTATATCAAGCAAAAACCTTTCGGAATTTTGGGTCCTTACTGCTCTTTAAATTTGTTTGTTTTTTTTTACTTTCAAGTATTTTGTTATTCTTCATTTTTTTATTCTTCATTTTTATTATTATTGGATTTTTGGTTTCGTTTGATGAACTGTAGTTAATATCAGCGTGTCAAATTTACAATTTAAACCACATCTGTATCATAAAATGATAGTGCAAACGCGTGTACAGGAACAGTACTAAAAACATATGGCCGTTTTGTAATATAATGCAAATATTTATTTATCCATAACAAGCACCCTGAATAATCTCCTAAAGATGAACTTTTGTTTTCTTAAAGATAAAATTGTATTAGTATAAAAATTATTTGAAAAACAAATTCGAATTGTTAGAGTGTATTTCTAAATCTAAAAGAGACAGCAAACTATTTATAATATTAAAAACTGTATTTAATATATGTCTTACAGGGAAAATTCAACTGATATGCCCTGTTCTACGATCAGAGATAAACGTCATTTTGTTTACTTCATTAGAACAGGTTTTATTATGCATTTTCAATTGATTTCCAGTTAAACACGATATGTCTTCCCTTAAAATATTCTAACTATAACTCTACAATGGGGAAAACATAGTGACCCACAAATGACGAAAGGTGAATCGAATTATTGAACGATATGTATCAAGGGTTACCTGTCGGGTCGCATCTTTTTCATTTAATGAAGAGAATATTAAATGTTATTATGTTACGAAGCCTGGCATTTTTTTTCATTTATTGAAGAGAATATTACATGTGATTATGTTACGAAGCATGTCATCTTAAAACGTGACATTTTCTTATTCAATGCATTCCAAAGAGAAAACATTCATTTTCGTATATCCAATTCATACAAATCAAAATTTTAACTTACTTTAAAGTATTTATTAAGAAACACAAAAATATATATCACTCAAAAGAAACTACGTCGAAAACAATCGGGGCACATCCTAACCATTGAGCTGCCCAAAATGTGTGGATGAACTACAGTTAAGTTCAAACTTTATTTATTTTATTTATAACATGTAAACATGTAAAGTACCGATGAATATCAGTAAAAGTGAATTACAGGATGGCATCTCGAATACATATTCAATATCAAAATGACATTAAAGTACACGGTAAATTACTGATAGTGTAGTGGAGAGTTATTTCCTTTTATGAAATAAGTCTGTTTCATTTTTTCATTATACCATTTGTTATTCCAGTGGTCAAAATCAAACACAAAAGGATTGAGAATTTGCGAAAACAAATTAACCCTGCCATATAATTATGTTATTGTCCAAAAGTCAGAAACCTCATTGGTTATCCTTAAATATGTCTCATATGTTTTAAAAGAAATTAAAGATGTTGATAGTGTCTGTGGTCACAGTTATTTTTTTAAGGGGTGATTTATTTAGTATAGATTGTTAAGGCTGTATACCACAATCTAGATAAACAGGAAGTTCGACCTCAAAACATTTAAACATTTTAACGATATTTTATTTAATTCAAATGTTTAAAGTTCCTTACAATATTAAGTTGCTGAAAGGTATGTGCAAATCAATTTGAAATATCATTTATTTCATAAGTTGAAATTGATCTAAGTAACATATCCCGGTTGTTTAAGATAATCTTTCAAAAGATATTCATTATGTATATGCATACACCATAATTAATGATTTGTAGATTGTAACGTCCGCAATTACTGTCCAAAATATGTTTTTCACTACTTTTGCATTTAACCATAAACAAGATAGTTGATTGATTGATTGATTGTTGGTTGCTTAACGTCCAGTGGCAAATATTTCATGCATATTCAGGACGAGAACAAGTTCACAATAAATACAATAGGTAGGTTCTGTAATAGGTTAAGGGATTGAGGTCGGAGAAATTTAGACTGCCACGGGAAATGAGGGTATATTGGATAGGGACAGAAATTTAGCCTTGCAACAGGTCACCTACGGACCCCTCAAAGAGTTGTTGCAAGGGTTCTTAACGTGCAAAGAACGTGGCACTTTCTTTACACGAGGCATCGGATTTAACGTCCCCATTCTGACCGGACGTGGCTGCAAATTTGTACATCCCGCACAGCCAAACGGACGCCCCACTTTAGCACGGGTTTTACTGCCGGTCGGAGGAAGACCAATGGTGACCATACTTCTATTCCCCAGTCACCCTTGGGGGGCAAGATAGTTGAAGGCATAATCAAATACGATAATAAAGTGAATAAAAACACTTAATTTCAGAAACGTTGTGCCTTCTATGATTACGGCAATACAGGTATGCAAACTTAAGCAGAATGCTAACTTGCAGGTTTTGAAAAGTTTATAGTTAAGAAAATCAACATTTTTTCAAGTAAATTTGCTCATTAACAATATCTTCGTTAAATAACACGAATGAACACTAAATGAAAAACAGAAAACATGTATAATAGTATAGCTTCATGACACACAAATACTATTCACGAGCTAGCCAAATGTGTCTTTCGGAAGCATTGACGGTCAAACACGGACACAACCATTGCTAAAACCGATTCAATGACGAATGATAAAAACCAGCCACAAACACACGACTTATATATTAAAGAAAAAGTCGAAAGCTACTTAAATTATTGGCTGTTCTTCTGAGTCGTTTTGGTCGTCTCCGAATCTACATGAATTTTGTGTGAACAATGAATGATGATTTTTTGTAGTTTTCTTTTTTTTTGGGGGGGGGGGGGGGGTGGAAAGGGGGGGTCTGGATAGGTTTTTTTAATCCATGCACATTGAATTGGTATCACGCCTTTAAGAAACTAAAACATAGTTGGTAGACTCTTTCTTCTCTCAAAATCATATGTTTGACCACTTTTAATGTCTGTGGAAATATTGGATTTAGACTATATTATTTGTTTTGACGTATAAATGAAATAACGCTAACTTTCCGCCTAAACTAGATATATGGTCAATATGAACACAAAAAAAATATTAAACACATAATTTTGAAGTGCATTTTGCTGCATGCAAGAAGACCTAGAAGTTCGTCTTTATGCGTAGTATAAATCTGGTTATAAATATACGTCATTAGAATGAATGTGACAAGAATATATCAAAAGAAGTATTATGTTAGACTTTACATCGGTTATATTTTAAACATAAACAAAAATATCTAAAGATCATTTATCGATCGACACAACTACCAAACTTCAGTCATATGTTGCCAAATACGTTACAATGGCATGTGTATCAAGAAGACCAGGAAGTTCGTCAAAGTACGGAGTACAAAACTTGTTATAAAAATACGTCATTTAAATGAATATAACTGGAATATATAAATAGACGTTTTCTGTTTACTCTATGCATTGGTCTTATTTTAAACATAAAAAGATATTTAAAGATCAACCATTAACCGACACAACTGTTGACCTTTATTCATGTGCTGCCAAAATCATCCCGAATCTGAATAAAATCTGTTGACAAAATTATTAGATCTTAATTATATTTTAAACAAGATACAGTCAGTATAGTATACCAATTGATTGTGTTACAATGTTTAATTTTCAAAAGCTTTAACATCAAATAATACGTTTCAATAGTATATGTTACCCAAGACTTCCTTTTTTCTACTTTAAAAAATACTAAGGTCCCTTAATTCAATGACTTAAAATGGAACTGGCCGTCACTAGCTTTAAACAGTAATCTAGCATACTGATGCAACTCGTAGGTCGTTTGCCTGGGGGTATCATTGTTTTCTACCAATTTATATGACTGTTATTAAACTGCACAAAATTATTAAAGAATACATAAAAGGTTGGTTACAATTGTGTGTAATAGCCATCATATACAGTTAATAAAACCAAATAAATTATGAAAAATCAGAGAAGATGGCTTTCTATTTTAATCAAAAGATAACTGAATACCAGTTTGTTTGGAAATCACCAGATCCGGCACTGTATAAATGTTGTTTGATAATTGCACTGTTCATAAAGGTGATTTATGTTATCTCAGTAATAAAGTGATTAATATCGGTGTAAAAGAATGATATTTATATATAAAGCTAATTCAATACAACAATGCACTTTGAGGTAACGAACAATACACACTTTGATACAGTATAGTCTGTCTACCTATTTCTGTTGTACATACTTTCTTTTTTACAGTGAAAGAGTGTTTGTACTTTTTATAAAATAAATTTGTTTTCTATTTTTCTTGTTGTGTAATTTTTATATTCCAGCGGTCGAAATCAAATAAAAAATGGTTGACCTTTCGAAAAGTTAGTTTAAACCTGCCATATAATTATGTCCTTGTCCAAAAGTCAGAAACTGCCTTGGTTCCTCTTAAATGTCATAACAACGTATCAAATGTTTTAAAAAATCTAGAGTTTGTGTCAGACCTTGATAGTGTCTGCTGTCAAAGTTGTTTAATTACGGATTGATTCATGTAGTATAGACATTTTTTTCTATCTTTAAAACCGTGAAACTTCAATTATATAGTCAATTATATTCAACATGTTTATAACAGAAGGTTCGAACTAATAAGATGGACACACATAAAGAGCTTTTATTTAATTCAAATGTTTAAATACCCTTACAACTGTACGTTGCTCAACGGTATTTGGTAATCAATTTGGACTTTAAAAAAAGTTAATTCATGAGGTCCACATTGAAATTGGTCTATTGACGGGATATATTTCGTTTTTTAAAAATAACCTTTACAAAAAAATACATTATGAATATGAATGCACCATAATTGATAACTTGTAGGATTTAACGTCCGCAATTATTGTCCATTATATGTTTTTCACTACTTTTGCATTTAACCATAAACATAAATGATCCAAGATACTAGGTTTTTAACTTTGAACAACAGACGCGCGTTTTGTCTACACAATTTAAACTGATGGTATTCGAATCAAAACAGTTGAAAAGCCGAATCATATACGTTTCGGAAGCATGACCGGTCGAACAAAAGACGGAACTTTGATCTAAAATTTAATTTTATTATGATAAACATTTTTGTTGAAATTGTTTGAAAATATTATACATGTTACAGGTTAGATGGATTCGTCTTTGAAAACTTATTTATGGAAGCAAAGGTGGTGTATGAAACAAAAGGAAGGAAAAAAACATATTTTGCAGCGCCGTCAGGACGATAAGAATTATTTACTAGTGACTGTCAAATATTTATACATTGATAGAACGGAAATGTTATAGCTAAAACATCGGAAGCATATATGTGTCACGCGTTATTATTAATTTCACAATACACTTGTGTTATTTTACGCTCCCGGACAAAAGCTTTGAATGTTTGAAAAATTGTATTTCTTTTATTATTCCAATAACGTGAAATAACGTAAAATATTAAGAGTCCTAGCCATTTCCAATATTGGAGATAACTTGCATTTAATAAAGCTATTATTATTTCAAGATGCAAAGAATCAAAAAACTGTTCTAATCCTTCTCCAGTTCAAGCATTTTAAATAAACTAACAAAATAAAATGTTCACATTGAGCGAGCATATTACAATCTTAGTTTGAACCACTGTTTGTGTGATATGGGTGTACAGAAATATTTATTTTGAAATTCTGAAGAGACCAAACAAGCAAAACAAACTAGCCGTACAGGTAAAACGTTTTAGGAAAACAATTACGAGATTCTATTAAGTTTCCTAAATGCGATGACGAAAGTTGTTCATTATTAGTTCGTACATGTTTCATGAATCTGTATTTTCAAACAAACAAAAGATACTCGTACAAGCTTGTTAAAACATTGATTACATCAGGCAAAATTTGGAGATTTGTTTGCTTTAAATGTTTTATTATTGTTGACCCTTATCCGTATTTCCAAAGAGTAAAAGACTATCATGATAATGATGTTTTCACAAGCAGCTTTCCGTACACATTGATCATGATGTGACAACGCATTTATAATTTACTTCAAACATAAAGATTCAATAATGAAAATAAAAACAATTTCCACACACTTGTTAAAATTCATCAAATAGAATTGGCTTTGCTTTCGAAGCAAAGTTAAATTGAGAATGGAAATGGGGAATATGTCAAAGAGACAACAACCCGACCAAATAGCAGACAACAGTCGAAGGCCACCGATGGGTCTTCAACGCAGCGAGAAAACCCCGCACCCGTAGGTGGTCCTCAGATGGCCCCTAAACAAAATGTGTACTAGTTCAGGGAAAATGGACGTCACACTAAATCTCAGTCTTCATTAGTTCTGTCAATCTGTTAATAGTACTTCCCTTGGAATATATTGCCTCAATATATTGCTAAAGAATTTACTGTTGTGGATTAAAATTCGAAAAAAACGAACACCCCGTTTTGACGTATAACTGCAATTACTCTTACCTTCGGCTAAAACTATGTATGTATTCAATATAAATGTCAGGAAATAGAAGAAACATTTCATGTTGAAGTGCATTTTGTTGTATGCAAGAAGACCAGGAAGTTCGTGTTTATATGTAATACAAAACTGGTTATAGATGTACGTCATTTAAATAACTATTACAGGAATATATAAAAAGTATTATGTTCAAATGTTTACCCATACATCGGTTTAATTATAAACATAAAAAAACATTTAAAGATCAATCATTAACCAACACAACTGTTTACCTTTATTCGCGTGCTGCCAGAATCATCCTTAATCTGAATAAAATCTTTTGACAAATATATCTGATCTTGATATATATTTTAAAATAAGCTATAGTCAGTATTATTATAATAAATCAATTGGTTGTGTTCTAATATATAATTTAGAAAAGCTTTAACATCAATTATGGCATTTTAATAATATATGTTACCCAAGACTTCCTTCTTTCTTCTTAAAAACTAACTAAGTTCCTTTAATTATTAACTTATAATGGAGCTGGTTGTCACTTATTAAAAGGTGATTTTGTTATGATTAGCAATAAAAATGACGTTACTAAACTGCTCTTAATTATAAAATATTTAAAAAGGTTGGTTACATTTGTTTGTTAACAAGATAGCCGTCATATACACTTAATAAAACCAAAAAATAATTAATAATTAGAGAAAGTGGCTTTTTATTTCATATAATCAAATATTTTGATTAGTGCTCAGGAAATGGCACCTCTTCTTTTTGGAAACAGACAGAATATTCATACCTTATTATACTGTAGATTCATCCATTTTCGTAGGCACCAATTTCGGGTGATTTTGTGTTTCGTTGGTTTTGACAAAGTTTGCATACAAGCCTAAGGTAAGTTGTATTTCGTTGAAGGTTAAATTCGGGGTTCACAGTTATCCACGAAAACCAGTAAAATTGATATTCCACGAATAATAAGTAAATAAAAAAAAACAGTAGATAAGAAGTGCAAAATAGATCATGTATTGATCTTTTTTTAAATTTTCAATGTAAAATTACAAATGCAAAATGCTCCAATTTGGAGCAACGTTCAATTTTCAATGTATAAATGTCAAAATGAAAAATATTTCACATTGGAGCATTTTTTTCATTTTTCAATTTCAAGAGTATAATTGAAAAATTAGTAACTGGGCCATTTGCATTTATTTTTTGGGGGGAAGGGGGCTTTTTCAAATAATATTGGAAAACCTTTTTTTTTTCTTTTTAACAAAGAAATACACTTGTTGTTTGTTTTTATTTTATTGTATTTTGTTCAGATGGTGATGATAAGTTTGTGTGCAGCTATTGTTTAATATTTTACAATAACTGACTTCAGCAGCTCATTAAGAATATAGTATATTTCAAAAGGTTTAGTGACAGAGTAATGCAAGTTAACAAACTAAACTTATCCCTTGAATTTTCTAAATAAAATAAACCGGTAAGTGATTCTACATAACTACATATTGCGTAAATGATTTTAAAATATATTTGCAATTCCACGAATATATTTAGTATATACAGAAATATTTTATTAAAATGCTATTATAAAAAATATATCAAATATAAAAAGTCAAACGGTTGTAAAGAATGTTCATTGTTCGATATAATTTATATAAAGTATGAACCAATTTGTTAAGAAATCACCAGACCCTGCACTGTACAAATGTATCTTGAGAGTTGCACTGTTCTAAAATGTTATTTATTTAATCTCAGTAATAGAGTAGTCACGATCAAGGTGAAAGAGATTGTTGATATGTATATCAGCTGATTTAATACTATGAGCTTACGAACAGTAAAGTCTCTGATACAGTATAATTTGTCTACCTATGTTTCTGTTGTATATAATACCGTTAAGTACTTTATATAATACCTTTTAGTACTTTAAAAATTGAAGTGGCTTAACTTTTATGTTGTGTATTGGTATGGTATTCCACCGGTCGGAATCAAACAGAAAAAAGATTGAGCGTTAGTTTTATTAGTGTATCCCTGTTTAAACTAGTAGTTATGTCCTTGTCTAAAAGTCAGAAACTGCATTGGTTGCTCATAACGTCGTATCAATTGATTTAAATCAATTTTGAGGTAGTTTTGGGTGTTGATAGTGTCTGTTGTCACAGTTGTGTAGTTAAAGACTGATTCGTTTAGTATAGATACTTTCGATCGTTTTAGCCGTATACCATCATGTAGATGAATATTTATACTTAATATGTTAAAACAACAGGAATTTCGAATTCATAAGTAAATAGAGAGACTAATAGATTAGGGTGAAATAATGCATAGTTTGCAACGCTTTGTTGCATGTTTACGCACATTCAATTAACCTATAAACTTATTTCACACACAGTTTTATATGACAGTATTTCTGCAAGACTAGTATGAATACCACATGTATCATTTTACGATATTCCAATTTATTTCGACGAGTGTATAGTACACAATTTTACCAATAATGTATAGTATGCCTGAAGCTGTTTGTGATAGAGGAATCAACAAAATGGATTTAATATTATCTTGGACTCTTATGAATGCGTTATAGAAAAAAGATAAATGTCCATATTTTCCCTTGAAGCACAAATCCAATGATTGCCAATGACTCAAGACATTATTACTTAACACTTAGCAACACAAAACTCACAAAAAACAAATAGTGCTACTGATTGGATATCGTATTCCATCAGTTTGGCACCATCACTTTGATTTAATAGTAAACATGGTAAATAATTTAAACAAAGATGAAAACAATGGCCATTCCGTTTAAGACTTTTTTGGTATTTGATATGCTATGTATAGATTTAAAAAAAAACACTGTTTGAGTACACGGTCACACAGTTGGTAAATGTTAAGTCATTTTCTTTTGACATCAGCTTCTCTTAATGTTGACGAATATCTGCAAAAAAGCACACCTTCGGCTATTACTAGATATGACGGTTTTTTTTTCTTTAAACGTAGTACAAAACTGGTTCTAAATGTACGTTATTTAAAGGAATATAAAAATAAAATATCATGTTTAAATATTAGACATTTCATCGGTTATATTTTAAACATAAAAAACCTTGATAGATATATTAAACTACAGTCAGTAGACCAATCAGCGACTTTAATAAATATAGAGGTTTTGTCGTAACTCTACCTTGAGTTGTTGTTATAATGGGTTAAAACATGATCTGCGGTCGAGTTTTGTTGATTAAATTAATCGTTTCCTTTTGTCACAAACATCCTCATGATCCTAAGGCCAAGCACGATTTGGGACAAAATGACATTTAGTATCACCAGTTGTGGCGCAACTGAGCAATGAAAGACTGTATTCTAATGATGCAGTTAATGGATAATATCAACAGTCAATGATTGATTGCCCCAGTCCACAGACCATTTTCCGTGAAGTTTTTCGAATACCGCAAAAAGTGTTTAAATATTCAGTGTTTGACGCGATGTAATTATATATATATAATATAATAATGTCAAGATGGGACATGTAAATGTATAAAGCTGTGTATTATTTTGTGTTTTTTTATCTATTACAAAATGTATATCGTTATATGAAAGAGCTATTCGAGTAGTGATTGTTGTTTTATTATCTTTTATGAATGTTTTCTCAGTCCATTTATCTCGTTTAAAATGTGGAGTGATGTAATCTATAACACAAGTTTAACACCTCCACGTTTTCATCTTTCTTAAGTCATGAACCTCATAGTTGGCATTTGTAATACGTAATAACCTAATGGTATAGTTATATGGATAATTCATCGTTGATAATAAAACGAACACTTTTGATGGACTCAAAGCTTGACATAGTCTATAGACACATGTCTATTGTTGTAAACTCATTCAGTATATACCGGCTTAATGTTTTGTTGTCATTTGTTGGATTGGTGTTACATTTACCATGATTACATACTGTACATGTATACCCGAATTCTACGTTTATTCATTTAAGAATTGAATGCTTCTTTTTGTAATTTAGTTGGGGTGTAAACGTGTTGACCGAAGCACATTTTGTATGAAGCGCAGAAACGCTTGATTCTAGAAATGTACGGACGATCGACACTTTTACAACCATATTAAATTACCAAAAGAAGCATTCAATTCTTATAATTACATTTTTATGCTAGGATCATAAAAAATCGATTTCTATCATTTATTTCTTTAATTTACCTGTGCACTTTATTGTGATGGCAAGTCTCATCATGCATATGAATGTTATACTTCATCGGGATATGAAGGTTAAGTTTAATATGACGCGCAAGCGTTGTTATCCAATCAAAATAACGGATTCTTCTGAAACATACATGTAATGTAATTATATAGGTAGCGATAAAACAAAAATCATTTTCTGACAATTTAATTTGTCATCCGGAATTTTATATTAGTATATGGAATGCAATATAAAACGGGCGGATTTTATCAAATTCTACTTTAGATCTAATTCTGACATTTCTACCATATACCTGATTTTGACAGTTCTACATGTACATTGAAACTATTTTTGACAGTTTACCTTAAAACTGGATCTGACAGTTTTACCTTACAACTGATTATGACACACATTTCTACTCTACAACTGATTTTGATAGCTCTACCTTACAACTAATTCTGTCAGTTTTACCTTACAACTTACTCTGACAGTTCTATATCAGACAGTTATATTAGTTGAATTGCTGTAAAACTGTTTAGACAATCGACAGATTATTCTGTCAGTTCTAAAGAAAGGTTAGAACTGATCCCAACTGTACATACATTTTGCGATAAGTCCTATATGGTATTGGTATGTATTTTCAATTGATTTCCAGTAACTTACGTTACATATTTTCCATTCGTAATGAGAAAACATCCTAACAGTAAAAGGGGGAAAACCTAATGCCTCAAATATGACAGAAGGAAAATCAGTTTCTAGAATATTAAACTATATGTATCAAGGAATTCCAGACGGATCATTTCTTTGGGTTAAACGAAAACGGTGTTAAATGATATCATGTAACATAGCTTGGCTTCTTATAACGTCCTAGTCTCATATTCAATGCATTTTCAAGAGAAAGCATTATTTTGTTTTCTCCATTTCAATTCATACAAGTCAAAATTTCAACT